AAGAGTAGACCAGAAAGGGTTCAAGGGGGGCCGAAAGGCCGAGCACGAAGATGAGAAAAAACAGATACTGGTACGGGTGTATCCCGAATTTTTTTTCCTATTGAGTCACGCGAATGGTGACTTGCCGGGTTTTTGCTTTGTTCTCTTGCGTGTGTCTTGCTTTATCCCTTTTCCACTCCATTTCGTTTGAGGCACGGCACAGACCACCTTGCCCTTGGGATACAGATGTGGCTTACCTTATCCGTCGTTTTTTTTATGCATGCCTGCAGAGCTCCAAGCGGCGGGGGACCAGAAGGGGGCTGTCATCTCAAAGAATTCCACCGTGCCGGGGTCCATCTGCGAGCAGGTGTGCCGCCCTTTCAGTTTCGTCGTGTTGCTGGTGCTTGGCCCCGCTGTTGTGCTGATTTATCTTATCAGCTGTGGACATGGTCTCTCGCTGCATCCTTGACCACGTCACCTCCCGGCAGCGATCCCGCCGCCTCTGGGTGTTGCTGAAGCTCGAGTCGGCATCTAGGTGACTCGAAATTTCTTTAAGACGACGCAAGCCCTTTGTTACAAAAAGCAATTGTCGCCCCTCCGAAGTGCAACGGTAGACATTGCAGTGGTTGTTCCACTAGCCACGACGCGGTTTATTGGCAAGCACAGTTTGCCAACGTCCAACACCTTCATGGCACCGCTGCTAGGGCGTAAACATTTGCTTACTTGCCCAGAACATTCTAGGTGAGAAAACGCGACCGCTGAAAGTCGGAACATTCAAACAAAATGGTGGTTCAGAGAAACGCGACCGCTGAAAGTCGAGGAGGGGCCGAGGTGAACACTACCGCGGCCGTATGTTTGCTGGTCTTCGAGGTGGCCCTCTGATGCTTGGCGGTCCTCGCGAAACAGTCAAGTTCGGTAACACTGCTGTCTGCGTCCGCTCACGCCAGCCTAAGAGCAACCAAACTTGCGGGTAGCGGATTGGAGAGCTCTTTCCCAAACACACAGGCCATGCCTTACGTGGAGTGCCGGATGTCTGGCCAATCTCACGAGCTTGACGATCTTCCTCTTGGCGGACGTCGGCTCCCCTTTGACTCCGCGGATCCGCGCCTTGTTACGAAGATGGCGACATACCTCGTTTTGATTTTTTTCGCGGATTGGCGTGCTCGCAGGTGATGGAGATCTGGGCGACACACTACGGCGCGGAGGCGGGAGTCATGGGGCTCCGCTGCATCCCTACGGGTGGCCTCTTCATCGCCGGGGGAATGACGCACAAGAACTTGCGCATGCTTGAGGCAAGAGTCCTCTATCAATACTACTCGTCTTCGCTGAACACGGCAGCAGCAGTAGTTCAGCAGGAGCAGTAATAATAGTTGCTTCCCCTCTCTCGCCATTCCGACTCCGTTCACGACCGATTTTTTGTCTTACCATTCACCGAAGAATTGTCATGTCTTGATCTCAACTGGCAGCACCACCGATACAACCCTGTCATTGTCTTTATCCGGCAAGAAGATATGACACCCGGTGGATGTTACGGACTAGGGTTAGTCTGGCTAATACCGGTTTACCCGGCACTATGGTACCCCATGTGGTAGTTGCACCGCCCGGGGACCCTGATTTGTCGTTTTCGAACCGTTGGACTAGCTAGCCACCGCTTTCGTAGGCAACCAAGGTCTTGCTTCGTGGAAGGTCGTGTCTGGTCTCATCAAAATGACACCACGCGGACGCAAACACGTGCTTGTTTTTGGCGTAGTTTGAGACTTCCTGGCCCTCAAGAGTACTGCTACTGCTGTACTCTGTTGCCGCGATCAATTTTGAGGTTGGTCTCGTTGTGCTTGTTGCGGTTGTGGCACTCACGATGACGATCGTTCCCTGCAACGTATTTGAGTTGGTGTTGCAACAGTTGTTTCATCAACGACCAGCACCACGGATAGATTGATCCTATTCTTTCCCCAAGGCTGCATTTTCGGTTGTATCGTATCGTTTTTATCTGCTACCGCGAATCGCCGGTCGCGTTTTGCCTTTCGTCTGTGAAACGTTCCCTGCTCAACGTTTCCTTTCGACGGGGCGCACACCCGGTGGCGCAGAACCTTTGTACAAATGTGTTGCGTACCCAGAACTGAAAAACGTAAAAAACTCTCCCCACTTCAAAAACTCACCCTACTGCATGCACATATCTTTGTGCTTATCTTGGCAACGCGCGCGTTTCGTTTCTCAGGGAGAGGACAGCCCGTTCATGAAGGGTTTCCATGACAAGGGGCGTGTATCCGGCCTGCTCAAGGCGGTCCCGATGTACGCGGTTCTCGTGGAGGACATCGGCCTGAGAGGGGCACACTTCGTCGCGTACAGGGTAAGAGCAAGGCGAAGCGAGGGGCAGGCAAGAGAGACACGATCGTGTGTGGTTGCGGCGGCTCGAGTGGCGATTCGCCTCGAGTTCTGCGTGCGTGCGTGCGTGCGTGCGTGCGCGCGCGCGCTACAGCCAGCGAGCGAGGGAGCAAGAGACAAGAGACAAAAAGACAGAACGAGAGACAGACAAAACGAGAGAAAGCGCCACTAGACAGAAAAAGAGACAAGCTAGACAGAAAGAGAGAGATACGAAAAAACCCACTCGTTTCGGGTTCGGCACGTACGGCAGAGAGAGTAAGTGTGCGCGCCGAGGGGAAATCCGAGGGAAAGCTACGAGGGAAGAGGGGGTGGTATACAACGTCGCATCTTGGGATGAATTGTAAATGCAGAAGGGCAGGGGGATTCGAATGCGGGCTCCTGTCTGACTGAGAATCCCCCGCCCGTTGCCATGAATGTCTTACAATATAACCGTAGCGAGCGCCACGCTTGGTTGGAGCGTGGCATTGCTTTCTTTCGTGAGAACAACAGCTTAAGCACGTTTTTTTGCCCGCCACCCTGGGTGCTCTGGACGACATTTCCTGTGTTTGTGGTGCCTCCTACACCGATTGTGTCCCTAGCGGAACGATCTGCTGCTGCGCCAAACGATCCCGATTGAAACGTTCCGCCGCCGTTCCTTGTACCACGCGCCAAGCCAAGAAGTTGTAGCACGCGGCCTCGAACGCTACAACTGCACGGCAGCAGCAGCAGCGGCAGCAGCAGAGGCATGCCGTACAATCAGACGCGCCCAAAGTTAAACATGCGATCGCCTTCCGTGTGCCCCGGCCCCCGCAGCTCTACCGCAGGCACCACGAGGACGAGAACAAGAAGCACCACCTGAAGAAGGTGGTGGCATTGTCCGCGACGAGCGTGCTGGCCTTGGCGGTCGTGTCGGCAGCGGTTGGCGCCGCCGTCGCGCGGGCCGTGTTTAGGAGAAAGTGAGAGGCAGCGAGACACAGGCCGCGGTGAGACGGCATACCAATGTCAGCATTGCGCTGCGACAAAGCTGTGTTTGTCGTGGTGACGTTTTTTGAGCGTGCCATCCTGGCGGCACCGGGTGTTGTTGGCATCTCCCGGAGATACCGGGGGCGCGGTGGTTGGTAGCGCCCCCCTGGACCACCGCCCCCCCCCTTAATGAAACCTCTCACATAGTGAGGGCTTCCGGCCCCCGTCGATGCTGTTCTTCGTGCTCCAGACGAAGGTGCGGTTTGGTTTCTGTCCGGCGTTGTCAGCGGCGTTTGTGACGGAGGTGGAAGGGCCCCGCCGAATACTTGGGGTTGAAAGCTTGGGGGGAGGTTCGTGGGAGGAGGCGTCTGTTTCAAGGTGCTTTTCGACCTCTGGTTGAGATGGTGCCCTCTGCTGACTCCCGTCTCTGTGGTGTGTTCATGCCGGAGTACTTTCGCAGTTTTGCGGCGAAGTTGGTTCCCGTTCGGTGGGGTCGTGTGACAAGGGGGGCGGCCGGCAGTCCTCAAACTTTCTCAAGGATAATTTGTAGGTGTGCTGCTAGGGGCGTTGTAGGGAGTGTACAGGCAGTATGTGTCCCGCACCCTTCAACTTTTATAGGTTTCGTTCCATGGATGAGGCGTGTGTCTTGCAATGTTTTTACCTTTTTTTTTGTTCAGCCGAAGGCGATTGGCCTCAATGGGGGGGGGGGGGG